CAGCAAATACATCAAAGTAACTTTGATAATTTAAAAAGCAGTTTAGAAAGTACCTCCAGATCCTAAAGAGAGCTCTGGTGTTTTAAAAATTCCACTACTACCTTTCTATCATCTCCTAGGCTCCATCTGCCCCAGAGGCTCAATGCAGGAGCACTTGTGTTTTCACTTCTTTCTCCTTGAAACTGCTGTGCAAGCTGTTGTTCCTATCATGCTCTGTAGATACGGCCCGAGAGTCCTCTAGCGTGGCCAGTCCTCACTCAGGATGAAATGCTTGAGAGATGCTGTGTTCTGACCTGGGCTTCCAAATCAGATAGACTTTCATTCAGTTCCCAAGAAGAAGCCCCTGCATTCAGATCCTTATCTGCAAAATGGACACAATTGAGCTGTGAGGGCTGAGTGAAGTCATGTGGTAGGAGCACAGCTTCAGAAGGTACTTACCAATGCTGGCTCCTTTCAGTCAGGTTTAAACCCACCCAGCCTAACTCCGTCAGTGGGAATGTGGTGCCACCTTGCTTACTCTCAGCAAGCTGAACCCCAGAGCGGAGGAGTGGCTTGGCCCTGCTCACAGAGCCCCGATGGTCCCCAAGGCCAGGGTTCCCTCTGATCTCTGAGGGTCTGCTGAGCCCGTGTTGAGTACATTCAACAACCTTGTCAACACCTTTTGTTAAATTAGGCACCTTCCTGTTTTCAGTCACAGTCTGTCCCCTTCCCCCTGCGATTGCTTTCAGCTGTCTTCTCACCTTCCTTCCAACTCCTACTAACCTACTGTTTCTGCCCACGGAGGCACATGTGTGATTTCCACCTTCTGATTTGTCAGCCTGTGAGCAGAACCTGAATTCAAAGCAAACTTGATAATGTGGAAACAAAATACAACAACCTCAAAATCTGAATCAAGCTCACATTGAGCAAGGATGGCCAACAAACTGCTTGTAAAACAAAAGTACCCTTGAGCGAATGGACTACACACGAGAAAATGTCAGTGGAGTCCCAGCTGGCCATGTATAAGCAACATAGCAACCGCAGGACGAGTTCTGAAGCCTTCCAGAAGTGGCATCACCATCTGCCAAACACCTAAGCCAGGACGGGGAATCATTTACTTCTCTCTCTTCCCCTGCTGCCTTCACACAGCTCTTACCCCTCACTCCAAAGCCTATGTCCTTTCTCTGTACCATGTCACTGCTGGGGAAAAAGGGATGCAAAGGACAGATACTTTTTCCTCATTAGTTTCCACTTCAAAAGTACCAGATTTATGACCACTTATACCTTTTCCAGAAGAAAAGGAGAAAAAACACATATGTGGGCCTGAGAGCTCAGTTTTAGGTTCTCTGGGTACCTTCCATTTCCTCTTCACACATTTCAAATTTGAACCTGATGCTATTAATGGAGTGTGTGTGTTTGGGGTGGAGGTGGAAGGTAGGGACCACTAAATATACCAATCTATACTACATTTATGAGGTGGAGGCAAGTCATGGAGATTTACTTGGGCAAGTCATTGTTTTAGAACATGGAAATAAATGTTGTGAATTCCTGAATGAGTTCATAAAGTATTCATCGCTCTCAGCAGACACTCAATAATCTTAGCATGATTAAATGAATGAGCGAGGGAATGTGTGGATGAAAAATGAGCAGTGCTCTCCTCATCGTGAGCAGTAGAAACTGGTTCATTGCTTAAAGTGAACTACGTCCCTTGGACTGGAAGGCAACCTGGGTCTTGGCACTGACACAGCCATGAACTTGGTGGCTGAACACCAGGTTGACCAGCTGTCCCTTTAGCTTTTCATCAGGCTGCAGCTAGAGTTCAAGTTCTAAACCCTCTGTGGGTATATCTGTTTTTTCTGCTTCAGGAGGTCTCATTTTAGCTCATTTTCTGCTTCAGGAGGTCTCATTTTAGCTCTGAGAGGTTGTGATCAATGCAGCACCTGGCTAGGATCTTTTGCCCAAGCTTTCTTGGATACTAAATGGTAGGGCTGCTACTTAAGAACTGCTGGAAATGTTCTATCCATAGCAAGAAGAGTTACTGTTGTGACTAATTCCTCAGTGCTGGAACACAGGTTACTCTCCCATATTTTAGATAATGATTCTAGAATGAGTCTTGTCCATTAGGTCCCATGGAGAGGAGGAGGGTCAGTATATCATGCAGAATCCAGAGTGAGAATCCTGTGAAATGCAAGCCTCTGGCTTCCACAGCCCTCAGGTTGGTCTCTTGATGACACTGCTCTCAGTCTGCCAGGCCCCAGCAGCTGACCTTCCATCTTTGTGCAGATTTCTGCCCCTAATTCACATGACTGTCAGTGAGAAATCACTGCTGGCCTAGAGTGACTGCAGTCTCTTCACACTTCGCAGTGCGCCCAGCACCATGAACAGGACTCTCAAGCACACTTTAAGAACTTAGTCGTCCTTGCATGTCCAGTCTCGAGTGAGGAGCCGTACTCAGGGAAAGCAGAAAATTGGAAATTTAAGTGTCTGAGTTCTCTGTCATGTATTCACTGTTTGATCCAGGGAAAGCCACAGAGATTCACCTCCTTTACACTCATCTATAAAATCAATGATCTAGTTTCCATGTCAATAAATAGAGAAAATTAAATGAAAGCAAATGAATAAGAATTTTATATAAAGTTATAAAAAATTATACCAAAGGCAAGTGTTATTATTTTTGTTATGGCCCTTGCTTTTGAGGAAATCCATCTGTACAGAATGCTTACCTGAGTGGTTAAAGTATAGCAAGTGCTTATCAAATGTGAACTCTTTTCACTTGAATTCAAACATGTTCTTAGCCAGTTGTAGTAGTTCTTGACTTTGGCTGTATACTGTAAAAACCTTTTGATTCATGGGTATTATCCTCTCAGATGCTGCTTTAACTAGTCATTGGGTAAGATGCGATGCTCAGATATGACAGTTTTAAAAAGTTTCCTGGATAATTCTATTGTGCAGCCAAGTTTGAGGACAACTTGAACATTGATGCTCAGTATGTAGACCACAGAGCAATCACAATGGCATTGCCTAAGAGTATGGTAGAAATGAAGAATCTCATACCTCATTCCAGAATCAGAATTTATATGGAAATGGACTTCTAGGGTTCTGCATAGGCACATTAGTTTGTAAAGACTGTGTAGGTGTATTGGGCTGGGGTATGTTCCAGATGACCAGATCGTGTTGCACCATGTGGAGCTTTGAACTTTTGCTTCCCCTGAATGATACTGGGTTGCCAGTGTGTCTCTAATTTGGAAAACTGCTAAGTTGTTAAGTTGAATCTGGAGGTGCAGTGATTCTAACCCATTCTAGGACTTGACCAAACCTCTAAGGGTTTCTCACCTCACTCACACAGCCAAAAATTCATACTTTGGGCCTCTTTGGAAGGGAATGTTCTGGGCACTAGAGAAGTCTTGCCCTCACTGAATGCTTTCCTATTGAGTTATCTGTGTTTCTAAGGTCAAATCAGATCTCCTTCTAAGTTCCTTTAGGTCAGGTCCAGGATTTACCTGGGAAAAGGGATGACATGCATCTGTTTGGTTACTGGGTCACATCATCCATTTCTCCAAGCAAATCCAAGAACCTTGAAGGTATGTGGATGTAGGGCACTACAGTGTTGTGATGTTTCAGGGGACATTACAGGAAAGCTTCTCAGAGAGATTGGGTGAGTGTCCTACAGTGTAAAGCTAGGTCTTAGGAATGTCAAAATAGGTATATTCATCCTTTCACTTATTCATCAAATATTCATCTTACTTGCAAAGATGCAGATGGCATCTTGATATCTAAGATGTTCCTCTGTTATTGATGATATCCTGTCACTTTCTTTAGATCTATGCCTAAAAGTCATTGTGTCAAAGAACTTTTCTCCCTGACCACCTGTATAAGTCATATTCCCCAAAACTTTTCCTCCTCTATTTTTCTCAGTAGCACTTGGGTGACATATGGCACATTTTCTGACATACTCGAAAAATATAAAATCTGCAAAGGGAAGAA